AGTTTTGAACATGTAGTTCAAACACTTGAAAGTATAAAGTCAATGGTATGTGCAATCAGTTTTCGATATCTTATATGTCTAGCATGACATGAAAACTTGATATGCATCTAAAGTCTATTATATGGCTTATATGACTTAAAAATCCTTGAAGGATTTAAATTGCTTAAAGCATATAGAATTCATGGTCATGAAGTACTACATCCTCAATGCAATTTGTGCACAAATGTATCTTGCTATAACTATATGCATGATAATATGATAGCAAGAGTTTTCACCTCTATGTGAAGATATTGAACTGACGATTCCAACAAGATCATATGAAGACAATCCATCTCTATCAAGAATGATGATTTCAGGGTGCAATATATTCATTCAAGTTAATATGGCTGATTTGTTTATCAAATATCTACCAAAGATCTTTTGAAGATGGTGCACAAGATTGGAATGCAAATGCTTAAGGATGTGAAGTGATGCTCTCATGAGGGGGAGTTAATACGCGTTGTACTCTTTTTCCCTTACAAGGTTTTGTCCCACTGGGTTTTCCTTGCAAGGTTTTTAACGAGGCAACCGAAAGGCATATTATTAGATATGTGTACTCTTTTTCCTTCTCTAGAATTTTTTTCCCACTGGGTTTTATTTTAGTTAAGGTTTTAACGAGGCACATTATCAGTTGAATAGACATTCAAGGGGAAGTGTTATAAATAGAATTTTATTTATGGTGAATGTCTATATTTAGAGAGATTCTAGGGTTTATTACTTGGTGGCTAAGTCACCCTCTCCCTATAAATAGAGGGTTCTATTCCATTGTAACTCATCCCAAATCAATAAGAATTCTCTCTCTCTACTTTTCTGTGCAATACTCTTCTTCTTCTTTTATTGTTTTATAACAAAAATTAAGTTAATTAATCTATTTATTAGCCTTGTGCACTAGGTAACGACTTTACCTGTCAATTTGAGCGTTCCCGGCTTCTCTTAACTATGAAGATACCTTATTTATAGCCTTTAAATTCATCTATAGTACATTTTCTTTAACGTTTCAAAGGAACAAGAATTGTATATAATGCATTTGATTTATAACTAATTAATGCATGTCCGTTGAAGAAAACATTGAAAAACTTAAAGATAAAAGGGATATGTTGTTTGGCTTTTTTTTCCAACCGGTTTAATTAATTTTCTTATTAAGTCAATTTTTTCAATCGCGGCTGATATGTTGATACTGTATGAAAGATACATTTTGTACTAATAACAAATTATTACTACTTCAAAATAGTTCAACATTAAGTCAACTTTCAGATAAATGGAGTAGCTTATTAAAATCACAATGGTTTAGATAACATGACCTAATTTCCTTCCGGTAAAAATTTCTTTAATTTGATAGATACAATATCTTGCTCTTTAATCAAATCCTTGATAAGATTAACGAAAACGAAGTATATCTTGGACCTAATGCTAATTTGGAATATTTACGTTGCAATAGTTCAAAAGGGAGGAGCATGATAAAATTTGGTAGTGATGGATTATGCTCTCTTGACATATTGTTTTTCCCCATGTATCAATTTATTCGTAATTTCTGTTATGATGTTTGTATAGGGTCAAATTTGACCCTCAGTATCTCTATGCCAGTAGGTACGCCCAATGAGTGTACGCCGACTAAACGTAGCGGGTACGACTCGGCCGTGAGGACCAAAGCGACATCGTTTAGAACTCAGCGTCTACACTAGGGAGACGTTACCTATCTCTGTAACTTTTTGATTCTTTCGAGGAAGGTCTCCTATTATATAAAGGGGACCTCCACATTGTAAAGGGCATCACCTGATCTAATACAACTCTCTCCTTTTCTGTCTTTCTCTCTCTATATCTCTACTTCTGACGAAAATATCTTATGAACATACATTATCATCTTTGCAACACTAGATCTACAACAATATTATCATCTTTGCATCTCTAGGTTTATTATATTTGATTACGATTTACCCCTTCTCTTTTTTTTGATTGTTTTATCGCTTACAAAGTATCATTAACTTTTGAGCCAAACAATTTGGCGC